TGACGGCCTCCATTGGCGCCATATGCTCTCGACCGTTAACCTGTGCAGCTTGGACTTCCCAAGAAGAAAAAAAAAAAAACCACCTCGAGCCTCTTCCTTCATCGAAACTTTAAATGATCCTCGTGGAAGACGCTATTACTGCTTAGTCCTGGACCCGCATCGTTTAATCCTCTGATTTGTTTTTTCCCCTCGGCGTGTGCAGTCCTATATCAAGGAGACGCACCTCCAGATCCAACGGCCTATTTGCTTTGTTCTCAGCAAGCTCCGCTTCTCTGGCTTCCTTCTTTTTTCATGCTTAGGCCAAGTAGACCTTTGTGCTATTGGTGAACCGAGAGCATTTGCAGTCTGTCATAAACCGGGTACTGTGTTACAACCTACAGCTGTCCGTTTCATTGGAATAGCCCAATTAGTGTGTATGAAAAGGGACCAGTTCCCATCTCTTGTTTATTTTTATGTTTTATTTTTTTTTGAAATTCGATTATTCACACATTCCTTCTTTTATCATCTTTCCTTCTTTTCATGCAACTGTGTCGGATAAGCATTGTAGACGGCAGATTACCTGATCTTGTCTGCATAGCTCGAGCCTACCGACCCGCTTGCCTCCCGAGTACTTCGCATATCCGTCTTCCGCCTGTCAGCTTCAACCTTTCCCCTTCCTTGAGATCTTATCGTTCTTAGTGCCATAGCACCCCGCTGTTTCTACTTCTCGCTGGGATGTTTGGTCTCCAGTGAACTTGATAATCTTAAGTAAGACCTGTGTGAAAAAGACTGGAAGAGAATTGTCAAATATAATTCTTTCCTTGTCCATGTTCGACACATCTCCTATTATTCATCATATACATACCTCTTCAATCCTCTAAGCGAGGCTGCACTGTGATCAGACGAACAAGGTATTATATCTCCGGACCCCCCAGCTTGACGGGCTTCTCTATTCCCCAGATGGGATGTTGAACGTGGGGGGGAGTGCAATTGTCTAATGCAGTCAATCTATATAGTAAAGGTTTATATATAAACCAATTCTTCCCAGTTACACAACAGACATCACTTCGTTCGCAATCCAACAGCCAACAGCCAACGGCCAACATCCAACCTGACTATAACGCCAACCTCCCCAGAACGAACGAAGCTTGCGATACCTACGTATTCACGTGCCGTATCTTTACTTCTTTCTCAAAAGCAACTTGCTTTGGTTTCCGTAAGTAATCAATGTTTCCTATCTGGGTATTTCGCATCGACTCCCGGCCCTTTCGCGTCTTTCTATCTTTGCCTTAAGTATCTATCTTGTTTTCATACCCCCTCTTCTCTATATACTCATACGACATACTTTCTATTACGCCTGATTCGTCGTTCTTTTATCCGGCCTTTACGTCGATATCCTTTGCAAGACCTTCGTCGACCAGCCTTACAAACGTCGTGATGGATGTACCTATCCTGTGTTAGGGCATTGGTCGTGCCTTGGTAGGCCACCGTACCTAGGAATATGGTCGTCTGGTGCTTTCGCTAGACAGGTACTGCTTACTCTATTGGGCCGACTAGAGTTCTCGATCTTTCCGACGTGTTCGTTGGCTTACATAGTCTTTCGGTCATGTCAGTGCCCTTCGAGTAGAGAAGAGGTCCAATGAAACCGACGAAAACCCAACACTATCAAATACCCATGCTATGCCCCAGAATCGGAAATTTGTTACATGTACAGTTATAAATGTATTTATATCTGTTCGTTCTGGATTTGCCTAGCTCACTCTTAGACGGGATATTCACTCCGTGAACTGTGCAATTTGGGAGTCCGTCGAATGCGACTGACTAGATTAGAGTGAGAAGCTGACAGTTGGGCACATATCCTTCGTTATCATCTAGCCATTTGCAACCACCTACAGCTACAACCAACCACTTAACATTAACCCGCACACAAATACGAATCATTTTACGCTACGAACAAACGAGCGAACAAACGATAAGAACGAGCGGCACAGCGTTGGCAAAGTTACGTTATAGGTAAGGGACGAGAAATTTGGTGGGCTTTGTAACCACTAGCTAGCCACGACGAAGCACTCCCAATCCCCAACATCATACCAAGCTACTGCCATCCCGGGTGGAGATCTCACTGGTTTCCCTGACTAAAGTTTTCCAGCTGGGAACTTTTGTTGTGGATTTGGACGGATTCCTCGTTGCGTTCCAGGATGGGATCCCATTGGTTGGACTAGTCTATCCCTGCCGGAATCTCCGGGCTCCACTTGCTGTCCGGGGACCAGATCCAGGCAGTCGCCCAAGATTTGCTGTGACACTTCTCAAAGATATTTTGGTCGCTGGCTATGTTTCAGATGCAAGCCAATGGATGGGAACGAACCGATCTCCCCTCGAAGTCTCACCGAAATCAATTCGAGAAGCTAACACGAGACCGTCTTTGTGAGCCCTAGTTATAAGTTAAACATACATACTCGTAATTAACGACTTTCTGACACGGGACCGCCTCGGTACGGAGAAAGTTGGGTATCGGGGAGCTGACTCACGTCATACTCACATCCCCGTTATTTTATCCGGTGTCTGGTTTGACAACTGTCCGACATTCAAAGAAACGGACGTATACGTGAGCTATATACGCTGCGTATATAAGGAGAGAAACCAAAGGGACTACCTGCAAAGTCACTCTCAACTTGTGAGTATAGGTTATGTCGGATATAAGGTCACAAGAGAAAGGAACATAGTTCGAAGTGGCTGACGACTAATAGATAGTGAAGCGGCCTTCCTAAAATTTGGCACCTCACCTGAGAAATCGGCAGCAAGATAGGATTGCAAAGAGACAAAAAAAAACTGCGAATCTCAAGATACTTGAGGTCGTACAGAGCTAGTTGAGAGCTGCGGGTAAGTAAAAGTTTTTATTTTTATTTTTTCAGATCCTGTGCATATCATACATACAGACATAATGCGTCCGCATGGACTACTGTATGATCCTGCTCGCCGGTCGCTGAGTAGTATTTAAAACCCGACTGCCTCCCACGCGCTTATTTCTTTTTCTGTCTCTGCTTTTCTCCCTTTTCTTTTTTCCCCCACTTCATCCCTCCAAACCACCCAAGTTTCTTTGACGGCCGGCCACGCATCGCAGTGTCACGTTAAGGCAAGTGTCGACATCCTACATTCTGTCAGGAAGAGTGCAGCTTGATATTATTTTATCGTGGTTTCAATTCGACGGGGTGCCATCTCGTTTTTCTGGCTCCCGCACCATCACCATCATCCCAGCCCTGCCCCATTCTCCTTTGCTTTTTCTTCTCTAAAAAACGCTTGGCCGGGCACATTATCGTCACGCTGCATGCCTGCCACCGCCCTTCAACCTCACCATCATCCAGCTATATACTGTGTATTCCCTCTGGTCTTGATATTCTCTGTCCTCGATCGCTGTATCTCAACTTACATCGAGACTTCTCATTTCCACCCGCGATCGCTGCTTCAGTGTGCTATCGTATCCTTAAAGGAGCCTTATGTTTCCGTGCTACGACCTGCGGGCTAACCTGAATGTATGACTGGTGCAGACCGGTAATAATAATCCAACCCAACAGGCAGATTTTTTGCCCCCCTTGACGTCCCACGCCTTCCCAGGTGTATGGTTTCTGACGGTACGTTTTTCTTAATAATATCAACCGTGCCTGCCCCAAAAGTTTTCTACGATTTTTCTCGATTCTTTTTTTTTTTTTTTTCCCGTCCTTTATCCTTATTTTTTATTTTTCCTTCCCTCCTCGTATTTCCTTTTTCCCTTTGCTCGTGAACACCACCTTCTCCCCTTTCCTTCACCCTCGCAAAGAGACCCAAGACCAACCACACTTGGAGAAGACGTTATTACTTGCTCCTGTCTGATACCGTGAAGGCGACTGTGCGATTGTATTATTGCGCAGGAACGGCTCCGATCTTGATCTTGCTTTGATCTTGAACCCTACATACAGACACCGTTCCTTACTTTTTCCTGCCCTCTTTGGCACTACACCCAGATCCGTCCGGTCTCCACCACAGTCTATTGTCTCGTGGGCGGATCTCTTTACTTTTTTTTTTTTTTTTTCTTGTTTCTTTTTACTTTCACCCTTCCTCGGTTTTCTATTTTATTTTATTTTATTTTATTTTATTTTTTTGACTATAACCATCCATCCTATGGTTTTCTTTTTTTCTTATTTTTCTTGAATACTATCTCTCAACTTCATAATCTTTCAATATCACGATACCCGAACCCCAGGTTTTTAAAGGCGGAGAGAGAGATCCTTCTTCCCGTCTATGCCCTCAAAGAGCCTTCGCGCCTGAGTTCCGGACCAAAGAGTCCGTTTGGGATTAGTCACTGACGAAGGATAGCCAGCCGGACTTACTGTAGTCCCAGTCCTCGTCTTGGTTCCCTTTCATTCCTTCTTGCATTTCCCACATTCTTACACCGGCTGTATCCCTTCCCCCCTCAACCTCTTCAAAATCAGCCATCTTCTTCGTCTTCATCATTTACCTTAATCCGGTCTTTTGCATATCCTTTTGTTTAATGCACGCGTCGCCGTTTTACTTGAGGCACAGGCTTGTATCGACCCTTTCTAACATCAGAAGCAGTGACGTCGCTGGATAAAAACAAATCTTCCTTTCCGAAGCGGCCCTTCAAGTCCTAAGTTACTCAACAGTGCCTTGCATACAGACTCTGTTGGACTGATCGATATCTTCCGCCACCCACTCGACTCGTACCTATTTCCTACGACCATCGACCATTTTCAAACGGCTTCAAGCCGACAGAACCCAAACTTAGTCCGGTTTCTTTAACAGCAAGCAAGACGTCGTCGTCAAAGGCTACCCGCGACCACCTCTCCTCCCCCTTCCAACCGCCTCACCTCCCCACCATACAACCTCTCCCCAACCGACAGGGCCAGGCCGGCCCATCCGCAAACCTGGCGGCCACAATAGGCCCTCAGTCGGCCGGGTGGTTTCGACCACCGCCGCCTGAGCAGAAGCGTGCTCCTCGGCCCCCGGCAACGTCGGCGTCGAGCAACATGCAGATATCAGGTCTGGTGTTTCCGCCGCCAGAATTGGCTGGTCGGCAGTCATCCGCAACACAGTCTCGAGGCCTCATGGCGACACCGATGGAGGTCAATGGACACCAATATCACCAAGACCATATGTCGGACTTCGATGCATTCCAGGATCCTTACATGTTTGGATACCAGAACATCAACTACAATCCAACATATGCCCCGCCCGGCCTGCACCATCCTTCCAATATGATGCCCAGCCAGTCTCTGCACCAGCAGCACCAACAACCGCAGCCACAGCATCAGCATCAACAGCATCAGCAGCATCAGCAGCAGCAGCAGCAGCAGCAGCAGCAACAGCCCTCCCACCAGCCCCCCCCTCAGCAAAGGGCACATCATCACCCAGGTCTACACCAGCAGCCTCATGCACCGCAGCATCAACACCAGCACCAGCACCCACATCAACATAGCCCGCTGCCCCAACTGGCCCATAACGCTATCCCAAATAGCCTCCAAAACTCCCTCCAGCTTCAAAACAATCTGCAGAATTCCATTCAGAACAGCCTCCAAGGTAACCTCCAAGGCAACCTGCCAAACAACCTACAGAACAATTTGCAGAGCAATCTACAAAATAATCTGCCAAACAACCTGCAGAATAGCCTCCAGAACAACCTACAAGGCAATATTCCTAGCAATTTGCAAAACAGCCTTCAAAATCTCCAGAATATCCACAATAACCTTCAAAAACAACCGTCTCAACAATCACAGCAACAACAGCAGCAGCAGCAGCAGCAGCAACAGCAACAGCAACAGCAGCAGCAACAACAGCAGCAGCAACAACAGCAACAACAGCAGCAGCAGCAGCAACCACACCACCCAAGCCTGTCCCAGCAACAGACCCAGCCTAAGCCTCAGCAGCTTCACCAGTCCCTGCATCTACCAGTCCTTCCTGAAGCTAAGACTCCTACTCCGAAACCTGCTAAGGCCGCCGTCCGTGCTACAGCAGCGGCAAGACACCCTAAAGCAAAGGCTCAACCACCTCCTCCAGCACCATTGCAAAACGCCCGCTCTGCTCCAGTCCAGGCTCCCGTACCTCAACCCCTACCAACCCCTCCACAACCAAAGCATGTCCAGCCGCAGCCGCAGCCGCAGCCGCAAATGCAGCACCACAAACCACCCACTCCAATGCAAATGTCAGTTCAGACACCGGTGCCCACCAAAGTGACCATTCCGATCCAGACGCCGGTCCCAGCGCCAGCCCCGCCACCACAACCACAACCACAGCAGACTCCTGTCTCAGCGTTGAAGTTCGCGGCCCCTGCCCCTAGCAAGAACTCGCAGACTGCTCCTATCACCGATCCTAGCTCGATATTCAAGACTGAGGTTGATCAGTTGATGAGAGCCATTCAGAGCAAGCAAACCGACTCCCCTACCAAGGAATCCGAGTCTACGCCCGCACACGCTCCGGTGCATGCTCCGGTACACGCTCCGGTTCACGCTCCGGTTCACGCTCCGGTACACGCTCCGGTACACGCTCCAGTACATGCACCAGTACATGCACCAGTACACGCTCCAGTACACACCCCAGTCCATCCTCCAGCCCCAGCCCCAGCCCCAGCCTTTCAAAACCCAATTCCGATTCAAAATCCCAGTTTTGGGGCAAATCGAGCTCAGAGTTTTAACCAATCGTACGTGAATGGTGGAAACTTTGGAGGTCAACCACTCGGTGTGGATAAGCTCTTGGCGGAGCCTGCTCAATCAGCTAGTCCGGCTTCTGAGAAAAAGGGACCAAAGGCCCGGAAGAGGTATGAGTGCGAGATCCCGGGATGCAATAAATCTTTCTTCCAAAAGACGCACCTTGAAATCCACTCAAGAGCACATACTGGGGACAAGCCTTTTGTAAGTAACAACCTGTGGGGCTCACCGTGTTTTATATAATTGATTCTAACAAACTTCGAATTTAGACTTGCAAAGAGCCTGGTTGTGGGCAACGTTTCTCTCAGCTCGGGAACTTGAAAACTCATGAACGAAGACATACTGGAGAGAAGCCTTTTTCTTGCGAGAAATGCGGGAAACGGTTTGCCCAGAGAGGCAACGTTCGTGCGCATCGCGTGGTTCATGAGGGGACAAAGCCCTTTATTTGTCGGCTAGAAAACTGCATGAAGAAGTTCACACAGCTAGGAAATCTCAAGGCAAGCACTTCGTGGACTATTACCCTCTGAACGATCTACTGACATTTAAGCTATAGTCGCACCAAAATAAATTCCATGGAGCAGCCATCAAAAACCTCACCGACAAATTCGCTCTGAACTTCGACCCGACAACTATCACCCCAGCTGACAGGGAGCTTTTCGAGTACTTTGCTGAGCTGTACAAGAACTCTAATAAGGGTATCAAGGGCCGAGGCAAGGACCGGAAGATTTCAAGTACACGCAAAGCAAGGGCGGAGGCCGCCAAGAATGCCTCCGATGCGACAAACTCGAATAATAATAACGGTGGCAACAGTAACGACGCTGCAGCGGGTAGCCCTGATAGCTCAGCAGGAAATAGCAACGGCGGGGAAAACTGGGGTGATTTCGGTTCTGATACCGATGAAGGACAAAACTCATACGAAGGGGTTCCAATGAATACGCAGCAAATTCCTAGCCAGCTGCCTCCGATGCGCCCCCAGCATATCAACGTTCCTCAGTTCAACATGGGTTTCGATCACCTGAAATACAACTTGCAAAAGGACTACATCTGATTATTTTACCCCCGCTTATACTACTCTTTCTCTATTCTTTCTTTTTCTTGAATAACGTAATATTTCTATATGCTACTAAAGTCATAGTCCCGGCGTTTCTCAGCGGCAGCTTGAATTCAATGATTTATTTTGTCTTTTTCTTATTCCCTTGCATGAACTTTTGATACCTTCTTCCCCTTTGTTTCTTGCACACCGTGCACTATAGCTGGGTCCGGACTTATCCTTGTTTCTATACCAATCGGCTCGTTTGATTTGAATTTTACCCTTTTCTTCTCTACTTCTATCATGACTCTGCTCACCTATTATATATACTCCTCGAGCTTCGAATTTTCTGCGTGACCCCTGTACTCCCGCTCTTTCCCCCTCATTCCCTTCTTCATTCATACACATATCTTCCCTTCAATTATTCTAGTTAGATCTTCGATCAAAAAATCAGGCCTGGCAGGGGGGGTTATCTATATTTTACATTTCCAGAGGTACTACAAAAATTTTATATTCCGAAAATAGTTTTCCTTCTTTTTTTTTTACCATATTTTACACAATCGTTGTTTCTCTCTCTCTTCTTTCTTGTTCTATTGCTATGTTAACTGCGAGCAAGAGTCATCGTGTATGTGTTATTATTTCATCATTAGTATTATTATTATTCATGTGAGATTTAAAGTGTATCATGAATGAAGTTGGTTTTATATATATACTCCTCTATTTATCGATCTATCTATCTATCTATACATCCTTGGACTCGATTGCGAATTTTAGTCTATACGTATATAAAGAGATGTTGGCTAATGTAATCTTGATGATTGCTGTGATATTATAACACCTTTTCTCCTCTGCTTCTCCTTACCATCATCCTCTTCCTCCTCCTCCTCCTCTTCATCTTCGTGTTAGACACTACGTCTGACGTTCTCATAGACGACGAACGTGATACACGTAGCCGGAAGTACCCTTATGATATTCGGTCCAAGCCTATAACAATCAGAACATTAATAAAAAAATTATAATTTTTTGCAAAAGTTAGCGAGAAGCTTGGCTCAGTGAAGCGAGGTGTGTGCGTGCGTGCGTGTGTGCGTGTATGATATATGATTATTGAGTGGGAAAAGGGTTGAAAAAAAAAGTAGCTGCCTTCTGAAAGGGAATGTGGGGGGCAATCTTTTTAGTTGCGTTGACATTACTTGCAGATGATGATGGTGATGATGATGATGCACGGGGCTTTTTGGGGGTATGTTTGTAGATTTCTGGTGGGTCCCGGGTGACAGGTTTTTTTTTATTTTTTTGGTTTGACAGGTCAATAGTATGGTAAGAAAAAATTTCTTATTTTTTGGTGTGCTTCCTTGCCCCGATAATAGATTCACCATCCTTGCACCCACTCGCTGGGGATGGGACGGTCATCTGCAAGAAGCAAAATTTTGCGATATGGGAGGAGAAAAGGAGGGCTGGATTAAGGATTGCACAGCAAAAAAGAAAGAGAGAAGATTGGGGGAAAAAAAGTAATGGGTGTGTGGGTGTGGATGTGTCGAAGGACCGACCCATTCCTCGGATCTGGCCTTGTCAAAGACAATATTTTCCTCGTCTCTTCGTTGGATCAGGACGAGGGGAACGAGAAATGAAAAAAAAAAGAGGAGAAGAGCTTTCTTCTTCCTATGATTTCGTTTCCCGGTCCACCCTTTCTTCTAGAAAACATCTGTGGGGCAGTCCATCCACACCTGCATTTTTTAGAGTAAAAGGCAACGACGACAGCGGGGAGAAAAAAGGAAAAAGAAAGCGAGCCTGTGGGATCGCATGCGAGAAGGAGCAGGGTTCTGGGGGTTTTGAAGGGGACAATAAGGGAAGTCAGGCACCAATATTTCGAGGACACAGCCCACCCTCAAGTCAAAACTTCAGACAGTCAAATGTCGTCGATTTTTTAGATAATAGAAAGAAGTATTAAGACATATCCCACCATGAGCCGACGGAGCCGACAGTCTTATTGAAGGGCAAAAGGCGAGGACCGGGGGGGACTTTGCTGGTCAGGTACCAATCGTCAAGGAAGGTACACATCGTGGCATTCTAGGTATACCATGAAACCATATTGATTAAAATGAATAATTGCACTCACCCTCGATAAAACCCAGCAAGACCTTGGGATTTCCATGTTTGAGAAACAGCGTTTCTTGCCGAAGAGTAGACCGTAGCCGCATCGTGTGTCTGTAGCCTCGAACGTATCACCTGATACGGGTACGTCAATACGCCGGCAAATACTTTTGACAGCGCAGATAAGGCCATGTAGTCCGAGTTTGAGAGCGCTGGCGACTGGTGCGCCAATTGACGAGCTCCAGAGATGTCACGATTTCGCTTATGACCAATTGCCTCTCTGTTAGAACTTCCATTGTAAGCTGCATCTTTATGCTCTATTTTCGTTAAATTCGTGCACCACGAAATTCGCGACAAATCGTTAGTAATGGATTTTTTTTTGGGAGGTCAGCTGCAAGAACGGGGAAGCGATGCCGCCTGCAGGTTATGACGAAACCCTTGTTCCAATGACATGGATTAGGAAGGAGTATAAACTATTAGGTGATCTTATAAGCATCCAAACCCACGGGCATCGTGCAAGAGGGATAAGACGTTTATGTCCGAAGTGTGTGCTATAGTATCTGTTTATAAGATGATTGCAGCCAACCCAACCAGCATATGTATGTTATGCAGGTTCCTAGCATGGGCTGACCACTGAAGGGGTAGAAGAGGGAGAGAATGTGATAGTGGATGTGCTGGATACATACCTTGCTGTCTCGAACCTGATTGTAGTTGCTGCCTGTCACCATCTGAAATTGACGATTCGAGACGACTTGAGCGTCGCCAGATTTTAAGCTTCTCGTATGTCATAAACTGAATCGCGGCCTGGAGGACTCCAAATAATGATGGCAAAAAACCCCGGAAGTATCCCCGGATACCTTCTTTCTTAGCGAGATCGAGCAGACCCTGGGCGACTCCCCGATAAGCACCGGGGCCCCGGTATCCTGATGTCAGCATCCGGGTTTTAACCACCCATAATGGGTTTGTCAGGGCCGCACTTGCGACACCTATGATCGAAAAAAAAATGAGCGCCGTTGATCCTATGGTATCTGACTGACAACTTTTACCAACCTGCTGCGCCTGACGACAGTAAATAATCGATGGAGCTTAGATCTTGGCCCTGCTTTCCGCGATATTCCGCAACCCGGAACTTTATTTGGTCGTACCTGCGAAACATCACCTCACGCGCATCAGAATAGCAATTCTTCTCGGTCATGCATAAGCATCTGTGAGCGATGCAACATATCCACGCAAGAGAAGATGGCTTCCCCTGCAGGGCTGATATCAAGGCAAAGCGGTATTTTCCATTTAGGAAGAGGAGTTGCTAGAGATACCAGAGGAAGTATAAGCCCCAACTTGCCGTGTTCCCGATAATGTTGGGACCTATCCCACGATAGAATGCTTTGATGGGATGTCTTCCTGTGGCGCGGGCTTCGTCAAGCAGCTGTCGAGCCACAGTGACGGAACCACCCCACGCTCGACTTGTGTCATGTCGGTGTACTGCGGAGGCCGGAAAAGAATTGCGAAATGTCAGATATCAGTCATTATCAGAAAAATGCCATCCCGCGAGTCGCATGCAATAATATCAGCTAATATCTTTTGCCCAAGAATGGCTTCACTCGCAGATGGCGGATACCAAGGTATGCCTCAAAAATGACGTGAGCTAGTCGCCGATATTCTGTGCCGAACAAATTTTTTTTAAAAACGACCATGCATGTCGAAAACCTTTCCAGCTTTAGTCCTAAAGGTTTTTGGAAATCCCACCCAAAATTCCCCCACGAGACTCTAGAACTCAAGGCGGAAGAGACCTAGATAATTGCTGCAAAGGGGGGCTAATCTCACCTTGTAGCCTCGTTTTTATCAAATCAAGTGGGTGGCAGACGATAGTTGAGATGAATCCCGCCGAAACACCAGCGACGATTTCGGAAATAGCCGCCGTCGAACCATCATGTCTAGAGGCTGACATGGGGGCTCGCCAGCTCCCCTACTTATCGAGGGTATATCTGACTGCCGTAGTATTGTATTTTTGCAGTTGACTGAGAGCCTGGAACTTTGCGTGGGTTGCGCTGAGGTGAGATAAGACCTGAAATAGAGCGTCGCTGAGCGTGAAACTTGTTGGAAGAGGTTGCAAACGGTCACACAAGAAAACGGACAAAAGCGGAAGGTATCAACACATTTTCGCGCACGTTTCTTCAAAATAACACAACCGACAATCCTATCTGCTACGCCGGTGCGGATTCATGGTCATATGGAGTATCAGCGGACGTGGCAGGGACGAAATTGCAACATGATTCTTGCTATTGCACGACGCGGCCACGCTACGGTGGATAAGGAAGGAGCGGCTGTATCATTCTGGCTTTGATATAAACCATCTGGTTCGTGAGGCTCGTATACGGGAACTTTTTTGTTTACCATGGGTACGATCGCGATCTCTTGAACAGCCGGAGGGTGGAGATCTGTATGTGGTTGATTGGCTTTGAAATACCTGCAAACAGGCGCATGACCCTTCTATACGAAGATAGACATCCTTTCAAATCTACCAAGTCCAAGAATCTTTGTGGACAAAGCATTAATGCAAATTAGGATATGAATCGATTTTCCCACCCCAAACTCCTTGCCACTGACAAAATGCACTAGGTACAAAGTAACCCGCATAGGATACAGAAAACACTCAAAATCGCAACGCTAGGGTATTAGCCGAGAATATCCGATGGAAGTAACGAGAAGTAATATGTGAGGATAGAATGCTTGAACCGATGATAAACGTATTGTTTGATGTGTTCTGCGCATGGGGTAGCTCGGCTACAGAGCCGAGCCCGAGTCTGGAAGCTAGTTTATACATTGGATCCCAAGTTGAGGTATTGTTCGACGGCACTTCTGTCTTGTTCACTGGCTGTCCGAAAGTTCTTAGCTTCAGATTCTCGGTTGGCTCTGACAAGGGCGTCTACGGGGTGGAATGTTAGTAATTCTTTTGGTCTTAGGCTTTCCGAGGGAGACAAAACTTACCAGCAAGCATACTCCTAGTTGTTGCCTGCCAAAGTCGGTCACCCGATTTTACAGCACAGTCTAATGTGGCCCTGGACATATTTGCGTGATGAACCGGGTCTGGATTGAAGACCTTGGCACAGACCAAAGCCAATGTGATTGTCAACATATGGTGAACCCCTGATTGCCTGAAAATTCGGTTCGACGTGCTGAGTAGACTCCTGTCATAAAGTTAGATTGATATATTAGAGGGGAAGGCTTGGCCAAGGAAGAAAAAAGCACTTACCGTACAACATTGAGATTCTCGCCTTTGTTTTCGAGAGAGACTGTTACAACATTGTATGCGCCTTGTATTAGTGGGTTCCGATGAGTCGATGCGAAGTCGGCGACACCTGCTAGCATGTTCTGTGCTTGTCTAAAATTCCTTGTTCGAGGCCCAGACAGAATCAATGCCGAGTTTAGCGCAGCGAGAATTCCCAGTTCCGATGTTCGGTCAACAAGGAGGCCTTGGTATGTAGCCAATGCCCGGGAAAGGTTACCGGTACCCTGCCGAACAATGGCCGTAGTATACGTCAACCAGGGTTTGATAAACCGTTGCTCGGATTCATCAGCAATGTTTGCAAATTGCGTTTCTGCTTGCCGTAAAGCCTGGGGAATGTTAGTGAGATGCTAGTGAGACGTAGTTTAAAATCGGTGGTGTCCATAGACTTACAGTTATAGCTTCTTCCCAGGCACTTCGGCCAGCATAACAGTATATCAGCTGCAGCGTCGTCGATAACTTCAAGAGCCTCCTCCAAGTTACCCTAGCGGCAGCCGTTTCCACCGAATAAAGACCAGGGTCAGCATTCCCAGATAACAGCCCATCTATCATCTCTTGACCGCGGACTAAGCACGCTTCGGCTTTCTTATCGAAGCCATTAGAGTGGGCCCTGATAGACCCGCTAAGAAACCAAACTAGCGACCAAAGGTCGGCTTTCGGGAGCCATTTAAACCTCAGCTCTTCCACTCGGCCTCTATCGTACACTGGCTTGACTGGGACTACGAAGGTGCCGTCCGCAGGCCACTGCTTCCAAGGGACATTCCCATCCAAGTTCTCCTGCAGTACTTTCATCTTGGTATCGGTTTCTGCCATGGACCCCTGTATTGTTGCCGACACAATATCTAGCATTTGGAAAAGGAAAGCAAGCTGTGGTGCATCTTGCAATATAACGCTCTGTGACTTAGACAATGCTTTCTTTGCGCCGTCCACACCCGAAATTCCCTGTCCTAGCAGTATCGATGCTTCCATTAGGTTTGCTAGGGCATATACATGATGGTCTTCCCGCCGTTTTGCCAGTTCGGCTGCCGACCTGAGTGACGATACGGCCGCATTGTCATCCTGCTCGTCCGTCCGGAGTGTTCGTAGTGACGAAAGTAAAAATCGGAAAGAGTATGTCCAGTACGCTATAGACAGGCTGCAACAAACCCAGCGTTAATAATATGCACGACTAAATAACTTAATAGATCTCGATAGATGAGTTCCACAAGGACGAAGCTGTCACCAATACGTACACTTCGGTTTCCTTTATTTGCTGGCTTAGAAGGATGAACGCTGCTTTCGGTTTCATTCGAAACATAATCCTGACGAGCAGGTGCTGCATAGCAAATTTGAGGTCTTGGAAATTGTTCTATATATCCACAATGACATTGTCAACATCATGGGTCCCGGGAAACTGGGTAGTTCATTGGGTATGTTCCACCTTTCCGGCAATAAGAATCTGTGTTCCCAAAAATAAACATGTCAGCCTCAGTCTGTCGGAACCCGGAGATGACTCGAAATGGAACGTGTCGATGGAAGGGTGTTTACGCACGCCTTTATGCAGGATCTCCTCCGCATCTGTCACATTTTCCGTCTCTTCCTCCAGTACACTGGCATATCTTAGTCGTAATGCCGCCTCGAACTTTGGTTGTAGCTTGAACTCCTATATACCCAAAGAATCAGATTCCATACACTCCTAGCAAACACACGCAATCGAGGTCGGGCGTACGGATAGGGCGGCTTCGAAACACCGTAGAGCTGCTGCTACGAGGGTCTGGTAGAGTTCAGGATCAAAGGACTCCTTAATACCGGTGCTATGCGCGGTGTTGAGATACGAATCGGCTAGTGCTAGGAACAGGAGATGCGGTTCTGTTATTGTTGACGAGGATGAGGAGCTTGCGCTTGTTGAAGGGTCAGGGGCTGAACGATCACCCATCTTTTGAGGATGTCAACGTAGAGTCGCGATGAACCATCCGAGCTGTGGTGAGAGGGGAGGTAATTCCGGCGGGTGTCGAGTCGGGTTCACTGCTGTTTGACGGGGATTGAATGTCTTTCTTGGGCGACAACTTCACGCGACTGGCAGCCGATGGCATGGCGATGAGGCGCCCAATTTTACCACAAAAACAACACTCTTTACCCAGATACCTTTCATCATTCCACTAGTTAAAGCATATGTCATGAATACACCCGGCATCCTCGGTTCTTTAGATTTATCAACCTCTCCAAGGTAGGAACCTCGGTTTTCTTCAAGGAGCACAACCTTAAAGGTACATTCTATCTCTAGTATTCAGGGATGGTAGTTAACTGAATTTGCACTAGGGACGGCGCAATAGCCAATAGATTCCCATGAGAACAATATCTTCTCCTTGATATCGGCTTTGACAAATCATCAATGATAAAAATTACTTTCACCTATCAGGTGCAACGAATAGCTCCTCAAAGCGAGCAAAGAAGATTACCCACCCATATAGCGAGGTAGGGGTTCTAATTAAACATTACTTTGAATTAGATAATACAAGCTGCATTATGTGTTTTAAGTTTCCCTTCGGGAAAGTCTCCGAGCTAACCATTCGTTACCCCACTCCCATTCCCATACGAAATATACCAATTCCTTCTTCTTCTACCATCGCTCTACACATAAATATGTACTATGGTCCACCTAGGGGAGTACGTAATCTCTGCTGTGGTTGGTGCTGTTATCACCCAATACTGCACCGCAGGGTAGCATCGGAGATAGCAAACTAGCCATGTGCCTATCAAACATCGCAGGATACGCAACCCCCGCCATACGGTATCCCTGCCGTCCCCAAGCCGGAAATGGCTGTATAATAACGTTATCCGCTCTAATAGGTGCTTCGAGATGCACCCAGTAGGCGTTACTGGAGTCGATAGACGAAACCAGCTAATAGAACCTCTGGAGAGATTCGATCTAGGCAGTCACGAGCCCCCCTTCTATGTTAATGGCTATGAAGCCAGCCATCGACACCGAGCCGAGAGTCTAGGACTTACCCTGATACGGTGATTGCACAGACTTTCAACGAACGGCATCATTGCCGAGCCGAAGGCCTCGCAAGGAACTTCGCCTATAACCTGATGACCGTCCGCCAAAACTGCCTTTTAATCATGGTGTGGGAACCGGAATTTTGACGTTAGCCCTTGGCCCCGTGGCGAGCTTAGCAGGTCTGCTCTTGGAAATATCTTTCGTCGCCGTCGCCGTCGTCGTACGAATCCTGTCGGGGTCAATGACGGTTCCACCAACAACCATTGGGGTTTCAAGATCCATGCCCATTGCCTCGCGGTACTTCCTTTTGTAAGTATGCTTTCTCTCCAATGAAGGCGATCGCAGGGTACTGGTTGCGGCGGAAGAGGACGGACCTTGTCCATACGCGGGTACTTGCCGCCCTGGTGCAAAGTAGTAGACGCAAACTGCTGCTTCTCTTGTTCCCACTACGATGAAAGCGGGGTCGACCTAGACAAGGATGTGTTAGAGGTGATAGATCCCAAGACGTTTGTAATAAGCGATCCCTTACAGCTACGCAACTGATTGCGCCGTAGTTGCAGGGTATGCGATTAATCAAAATCCCATCCTCTCGAAACATTTCGATAGCCTAGGGAGTCCGGTTAGAACATATAAGGAATCTAGCAGACTAGGGACTTACGTTCGGCTTAATACGGCATATCTCTTTCTCTCCGCGAGCGTAGATTGCAATGGTCTTCTTATATGGACCATCGACTACCCGAATCAAGAACTGAGACCTTGGTTCCCAAACTAATTCGTCTTCCACCTTCGAAGTCCAACTCATACGACAAATAGATGAATCCGCCCACGAAACAAGAATATCACCATCGGCTCCAACAGGGCATAGCTGGGAGCACCCTACGTCTCCAATACCAGGAATCTCCGGCCCAGACACCAGCAATATATAATGCGATGGTGGAAGCTCCCACAGCTGTTTCTTCGGAGACAGAGCCTGCCCGCATTCAGAAACAATCTGCTGGATTCCACTCCCCGCCAACCCGACAAACAAGGAGCTTTCTCTATAAAACAAACTATGAACCGGCGAAACGTCGTTTTGAGTGCCGATGGTCATGAGATTTGGTACTTGCAGATTCGTGACGGCTTGATCATTATTACCCACGAATCTCGATAAATCCCAGAAACTAACTTGTCCGACTTCTCCAAGAATGCACACGGTGCCCTCGATACGAATACTCGCTATCTGCCCACCATCGGTCCAGATTTCCGCGACTTTGAGAAATGGGTCGGGTCCACCGGATAGATTGCGGATTGCAACAATCGCACCGCCAAACTACCACCCAAAATGCTGTCAGCTTCCAGACTTATAGCGGCCAAAAAAAAATGAAAATGAAAAAGGAGAAAGGAATATTACGAACCGGTGTCCCAATAACCATAATATCACCGTCGATTGCAATACGATACGGCACAGCCCAATTCCATTGTGTCCCATTGATTGGAAACCGACATCGATGATAACAATTTCCAGTGGAGGCATTCCAAAAGGCCACAACCCCTCCAGTGTCTCCAGTCACAATCGAGCCGGTCCTTGCATCGATTGCAACAGCCAAAATAGGCGCATCATGAACTTCGCCGCGGTTCAAAGATGCAAAGCTTGTGTTGCTGCCGGAAAGCCAAGACTTGTCCAACCTGTGCAGCACGACAGCAATATCCCTTAACGTCTCGCATTCCGCAAAAACCGGCAACGCTGACATCGATGTTTTGACCAATTCTTTCAGGAACTGTGCTTTCTCCGACCCTCGAAGGTCCGCAGGGAGTGGTCGTGTTCCGTGGGTGAGTTGATTATAGGCATCGAGGACGTGGGGCAGATAGTTCGTCTCGTAAAGCGAGTGTTCTCTCCAGGAATGGCAAACGTCGTGGCACTTTAATAGAGACTCGAGGTCCAGCAGTTCGAGTATCAAGGTCCGAACCTCAGCCGGGAAACAGTCGAGCCCATCCATACCGTTTTCGCTCCCATTGATCTCCATCTTTGCATACCGGATTTTGCAACCGCCAGCAAAAGAAGCGAAGCAGAAGGATAAAGAGGAAACGAATGATAAAGCCAGACGACCACTGGATTTTAAAAGGGTCGTTTAAACGAACGGAGGAACCGATGGTAGCTCAAGCTCTCCAGAAGAGCTTAAAACGACGAGGGATATATGAAGAGCAGGAAAACGAATAGAACCACTCGGCGTCTCTCACAGAATCAAGTCTCCGAGCCATACGCTTCTCAGTATGAGGTCGAAACCCAACCTTGTGACAGCTTCCCTTTATTCCGACTCGCCTTCTCTCAGCGGCCAGCCCAACCAGATCTCTTGCGTTCTATTCTTTCTTTTTCAATCATGCATATATCTGTCGGCCGCATTTAGGTCTTGTCAAACGAACCAGCAGCAGCAGCAGAACAATATGCCCCTCTTGTCCTCCTTCCTTACCTCTTACATACCTCGAATCAAGAGCTCAGAACTGCATAAAAAAACGGGCGGGTCAACATCACATAGAGTCCGAGGCCGCCCTTCCCACTCGATGAGATTGAGTGAGGCCCTATCACGCCACGTATGTCGATAGCCGCTCTTGATGGCCTTTGACTTCTGACAAGGAATTAAAAAATTAAGTAACAGTTGGCAAAGTTGGAGAGTTCTTTTTTTTTTTTTTTTTTTTTTGGTTCTTGCCTTTACAATACAGTGACGCAAGGGAGGGGCCATTGTACCCAGCAAGCGTACAAAGAACGGCTTCCCCCTCCATGCAAATCGATTTCGATGCGCCGGAGAAACATACCTTACATACGATAGCCTAAGACTAAGGTTTCTCTTTCGACAAGGACCAGCAGACCACGGCTAGCTCACATGTTTTACAAGGGTGTAAGGGGTTAACTCGAGGGAAGGGATGGTGGGAGATATTTCTACCGGCATTTCCAGGACGGAACTGTCAAAAAGAAGGTCGGGTTCTCCGAATTTGAACATGGGGAAAGGATTAATACTTGCAGGAAAACTCGAACGCTCGACAATATCCCCCAATCCCAGCTTTTTTCGGATGAGCTATCCTGAAACCACACACACAATAGTAGGTATGTCTGTATCTGTACCAATACAATATAATACAATTACATACATACATACCTACGCACGTACATACCTGCCAGCATTGACCATCTTGCAGAGATTCTTTCTGCAAATATGTCCCCGAGATCGAAGATTTGCGCTGGTCACGATCCAATTGCATTTGCACCTTCTCGAAAGTATCTTTGTACGATCTCGAACAATACCGAGCGGCTAGCCGTTATCGTACTTGACTATCGAAAAAAAAACATAAAGGACCAAAGAGTGACATCGAACGCTATCTCAGTACTAAGTTTTTTAAACTTTTGATATCGGATCTAAACGCCGTGGCACTGTCTTATCATTACTAAATCAATACAAATCAAAAAAAACCCCGCATGGGGTTCCAATCGTCACGACTAATCAAATCGGCGAACTGAGAAGGGGAAAAAATAAAAATAAAAATAAAAAAATTCTTAGCCAATTGCAATTGCTTCAAAAGAAGCTGTGGAGGAACCGTTAACAAGAATAGAAGAACAACCTGCATTGCATTGGGAGGGGGAAAAAAGTATATGAGCGGGAAGGAAGAAACCCGTCGCTTCAGTCCCGCAGGTGGCATACGCTAAACCTTTTCATACTGTCCATTAGAGGTTAGCTCAAGCCTTCGGCGTGCCCTAGCGTTCGTCCCGTCTCGTCTACGATGATGTAGATCCTGCATGACTCGACACGCTTGCTACCGATGTGAATCTTCTGACGGTCCTAGCTTTTCAAATAGACACGTTTAGAATCTACAAGTTCCCGAGGAATAAGTTCTCCTACGAGTAGATTTTGAAAATGTCTGTTTTTTAAAGTTCTCCCCAAAAGTAGTCGTTAAAGATCGCCCTAACCAAATCGAATTCTCTTGGGCTCGTTCTTTAACAATTCGAGTCTCCTCCTCTCAAGATCTCTCCTCTCACATCCATAACAGCAAGTATATCTCATCCCATTTCTTACTAACTTAACCTTCCCATCGACAATCGCATAATAGCAATCACCTACAACAGAAACCTCCTCGGACTCGGCCGGCTCACTTCCTCCTTCAACCATGCCATTCTCATCACGATTCCCCGCAGCTCGACATCTAAACACCCTCCCGTCGCCATTCTGATCGATATCTGCATGGATATAACACTTCCAAGCACCTTTCGTCAATGGCCTAACGGTATCTAAAGAAATAACACCACCACCACCATTTGACTCCCCCGTAGACCTCAGTCCGGACCTCCAATCCCTCATAAATTTGATATTCATCACAACATCTTCACCAGCTGGTTCCAACAATGCCCTCAACTTTCCCAAAAACGGGGATAATATAAAATCCTCATGGGGGTTCTTTATAGCGGGTTCTCCGACTGATTCATGAAACCTGAAATCGATAACTTCCACCCGTACTTTCCGCAGAAAACTCCTATACCGCGGTGTGGGATACAAATCCGGTTTTCTGTACAGAATCGCCTCTTTGTCTTCCAACTCCCCCGAACCGTTTCGATTATAAAACCTTTCTAGATCATAAAACTTGCCGGTACTATAAATTTCACATCCGTTAATACTAACCCCTCCCTCCAGAAGAAGAAGAAGAAGAAGAAGAAGAAGAAGAAGAAGAAGAAGAAGAAGAAGAAAAACAACATAACAAAAATCCACAAAAAACTCACCCCTCACCATCACCAACCCCATACGCCACCTCCTCCCACGGAGCCTCATAAGTAATATGCAATCTAAACCTACAATCCGGCGACTCCGCACTCTCCCTCGCAATAACCATCCTTATCGGCCAAATATTTCGTTTATAAAATACCTCCGCAGCTTCCCTGTGGATCTGCTTGCTAACCCTGAACAAACTTAGATGTCTACATCTGATTTTATAAGAAGCAGGTAAGTTTGATGGTAGATGATCGAAAGAGCGTATTGCATTTGGATGATTGTTGTTTAGACGGGGAGAACGATGGCAGATGAGGAGGTAGCTGAATATTTCGTCACGGATTTCGCGGGGGAGGGAGAGGAATGTTGGGTGTGACATTTTTGTGGAAATTAATTGAATATGTATGATAGGTGAGTCGGTGGGTATATCGTAAAGGTTTAATCGTGGGTATCGATATTTATATATAAATCCTCGAACTTTCACTGCGTGTATATCCACGAGAAATATAAGAAAAAGAAGATGACAAGCAAGAATATATATAAGATTGAAAGAGATAAAGAAATGGAAAGATGAAGAAAGACTTGAAAGTAGCGGTAATATATCTACTTATGTATCCAATAAACCTCCTACACATAAGCACAAGCACTCAATACAAGGTAATAGGTAAGTATATATATATAGATACTTATACATATCCACGCGAATGATATCGATCCTGATCCTCGACAGAAACCAAATATAAACTACCGTTAAACCACTTATCCCTCTCTCTCTCCCATCAAACCAACTAACCAAAAAAAAAAAAAAAAAAAACCTCCCAATAAAATTTAAAAGCAGATGGGAATCATCTGTTTCTCAGTCTGTGTCATGTATCCCTAATTACCTTGGAACCGATTAAGCCGCATACATATTACATTTCCCTCGTTTAAAGCGATCAAGAACAAAAAAAAAAATCAAAAACTTGTTGATACTATTTTTGGAGAGATATATATATATAAAGTACAGAAGCTCAAGTGGGTTTAAATTTAATCCCGTCTAAAAAAAACACACACGCACTCTCTTTCTTTCTTTCTTTAAGTCTCTCTCATCGAAAGAAGTAGTTTTTATAAGAAGCTTAAGTATTGATTTTATGCGGCAAAATGCGAAATTACATTAATTAAGCTCATGATGATGATGATGATGATGATGATGATCGATGAACTCGAGAATACACGGGCTAGTTCCTTTAAATATAAATCCAAGTTAGATTGGTTACTATTACTATTATTATAGAAACCCTCTCTATATATATGTAAGTGGCTACCGTCAATTTAGAGCTTGGGCCCGACCCCCCTTGCCTTGTCTTGTAACATCAAAGCTCGAGCCCAATAGGGCCGACATCAAAAAAAAAAAAAAACCAGCCTTCCAGAGTTCTCAGAAATATGAGAATCCGAGACCCAGAGCACCTCCTCTTGAAAAAAAAAGAAAAGAAAGAGAAAAAACCCGAATAACCCCCAATACATATATATATACATATACGGATATTACCTATTAAAGAGAAATAAATAAAAAAATTGAAAAGAAAAAAAGAGTGATCACAAAAAAAGATGCCTGCATCTAACCGCTCAATATATTATACATACCTATACTTATGTATCAAACATGACTCACCCTCGATCACAATAGACCGACTGACTGCATCATGCATCGTGCATTAATTAATTCTGCATCATGCTTCTCTTATTGCCCTTACAATCGTCACCGCGTGCGCACCGCATACATATTTCTAAGCTTGGCGGAACGGCACAATTAATTCGTTCAATCAATCAAATCAATCAAATCAATCAAATCAATCAAATCAATCAAATCAATCAATCAATCAAATCAATCAAATCAATCAATCAATAAATTCGATATAACAAAAAGTAATAATAATAATAATAAGAAATTCAAAAAAAAGGAAGTATGGGTATCAAAGCTACTTTACAGTTACTTTTATACATCTATAGTCCCGACGTCCCTTCACCATATATATTCATGATCGATCACCCACCAACGTTAACTCCAAGGCTCAAGTATAGATATGATATATACGCGCGGGGTATTAATCAATTTCAAGAACTTTAAAGGAGATTTATATGAACTAAATAAATAAATAGGACGTAGGACGATTAATATAATCCAGCCAAAAAAAAAGAAGATTCTCAAACTATAATATAGTTACACACATTCCCCTCAAACTTCCTATTTAAACATTTCCAAGAATTCAAATCCCATCTCGAAATTTCCATAGACTCTCGATATCCCCTCCAAAAAAAAAAAAGGAAAAAGGAAAAAAGGAAAAAGGTCTTAGTAAAAACGACACAAAAGAAAGACTCAAAGAGAATCGTCATGGGGGGGAAGGGGGGTTAACTTAGTAAAGGGAACAGTTAGCTATAAAAAGTAGCTCGAACCACCTAAGTACGATAGTACCAAAAAAAAAAGACAAGTCCAGAAATAAACCCCGTCGTCGTCACCACCATGCACTATCCATATATATATACCCAGTCATCATGTGGAAAGAAATACGAATACCCATTCAAAAAAAAAAAAAACTAATAGTATTTAACATAAAGAAACCCTCCTCAAAGTATATTTAAAATAAGAAAAGTTCGAGAAAGGCTTAATGTAAAAAAAACGAGGGGAAAAGAAAAGAGAGAGAGAGAGAGAGAAAAAAAGTCAAGGAGATGGGATATCACTAAGGCAAAAAGCGAGTGTAAAAGTTTCTGTACCGAGCAATAATAGATGATACTATAAAAATAATAAAGAGAAGTCGTCAGAAGGGAATGCATGCATCAGGAATATACTAGCTGTAGTATGGAAGGAACACGTTATTCATCATTGGGAGAACATATACCCCGAAAGTAGGAAATAAAAAGGAATAAGGCCTCAAGGAGAACAAGGAGAAATAGTAGTAGTAGTAATTGTAATAATAATTTTTTGTTTTCATTAAACCCAGCTTGGTATAAACTAAAGAAAGGAGAAAGGAAAAGGAAAAACAGAGGTTCTGGGGGGGAAGGAATATCAACTTTTTTTGGTTGAAGAGTCAAAGTAAGAACACATTTGGTAACCTAAGTGGACTTCCCTCCTCTGTGATATAAAGAAACTGTGGGAAAAGGTGGGATCTTTTTAAAGCAATTCAATGGCAATTTTTGGAGCTCGTGATAATAGTGTCTGTCTATATATTCTGCGAGGGAAAGAAGAAGAGGTGGGAGAAGGAGGAGAAACAGGAGGAGAGATCTCTGCTAAAAAAGAAGTAATTTCGTGTTATAGACGTCTCTTTTGGTTTTCTTTGTCGAACTCAGGTCATTGAAAATTCCTAAAGATATTTTCCAACCGGTCCCATAAGATGAAAAAAAAAGGTCAAGAAGAAAAAAAAAAGAGTGAGCTATTAAAGCAAAGAGGAGGAGAAGCGGAGAAGGAGAAGGAGAAGGAAAAGGGAGAAAAATAATAGGAGAAAAGGTACAATTGCTGATATCCTGGCCCAGAGCATGAACACCGAGAATAAGTCTAACAAGTTCGCGCAATATTTTCAGATGCCAGCTTCATCAAGAAGAGGGAAACAAGACAACGAAGCGAAGGTGATCTGATGTTTCTGATAATGTGCCCACGCAAAAGAAACACAAATTTAAAAAGGAAAAAAGATAGCTGAGAGGGCGAGAGAGGAAAGTGCAGACTGCAAGAACATGGTTTCTCCAGTATATGGTTCTTGTTGCCTTGAGTCCTAAAAGACATGGAAAAGATACGCCAGGGAAAGCTTTTGTTGTTTAGACACGGTAAAGGATGATGGTGTAGGTTTTGGAGGGCGGAAAAAGAGACCTGCTTTTCCAGAATCGGCAATAACTGCGAGAAAGGTACCGTCGAAATTATCGGGTATGGGAGGAAGAGAAATAATAATAAAAAGACTAGTCCAACTGATTAAGATCAATCCAGCCTAGCAATCATTTCTTCCTTCGACAGTGGTGTAAAGTGGTCAATGTCTAGGCCCTTGGCGAGGAGTGCGGAGCGAGCGTGTGGTGGAAGGAGACGGTGGTTTAGCTCTGGAGCGATGGATAGTTCTATAAGACGGTTAGCAATCAACCCTCTGCAAAACTTGCGAACGCCAACGTACCATGCTTGGTAAAATTGAAGAGCTCAGGAAGGTCTCGTAGTCCTCCGTTTGTGCCTCGCGAATCAGGAAGCCTGGTATTAGGGTCTCTAAGCTCATCGAAGAATGGGTGGCACATGGCGTCAATCGCCGAGAGACGTTGAGTGGGAGTATATTCTAGCAGGCGAGAAATAAGGTCGATAGCTTCTGGTGGCGCTTTTCTGAAGACCTATAATTGAAGAAACGGGATGTTTTAGGTTGGACGGTCATAAATAGAAAATCGAGTATCCACGAGGGGGAAATTACCTTAGCAAATGGATGTGGTTTGATCTGGGGGAACTTGTGTTCCATATAATTTGGATTCATGGTACGGATCTGCTCCCGGGTAGGGGTGCCTAGTACCTTGATGATCTCCACTAGCTGGTCGATTCCGGACTCGCCGGGGAAAAGCGGTTGACCAAGCATCAATTCTGCCATAACACAGCCTGTCGACCAAACGTCTGGATCGCAAATAAAGCGTTAGCAAAAAACAAAACAAAAAAAGAGCTTAAAATACCAACGGGAAATTAAAATATAAAAAAAAACGAAGTGGGAAAAAAATGTGTGTAGGACATACCAATCTTCGTTGTGTAGTTGGTGGCACCGAAGATCAATTCCGGCGCGCGGTAGTATCGGGAGCAGATGTATGATACGTTGGGTTCGTTCTCAACAAGAATTTTCGCGCTACCGAAGTCGCAGAGCTTGAGAATTCCGGTGCTTGGATCGAGCAAGAGATTCTGTGGCTTGATGTCTCTATGGCAGATTCCCTGGGAGTGGATGTAGGCGAGGGATCGGAAAAGCTGGTAAATGTAAAGCTTGACCTCTAGAATTGGCATCGTCGTCTTCAGCTTATTGAAGTACCGGGAAGCTCGATAGACTGTTTCTGGAACAAATTCTAAGACAAGATTGAGGTAAACCTCCTCTTTCTACAGATCCGGGGTATTAGCTTAGGCATACCACCAGAAAACCCCCCCTGCGAAGGGCGGGGGGGAAAGAGAGGGAAATAAGGAGTATACATACGCGATCTCCGTTGGAGTAGTAGAAAGCCTTGAGTTCAACGATATTTGGGTGTCTAACGATCCTCATGATTTGAAGCTCTCGATTCTATTATAACCAGTAACAATTAGCATTTAAAACACCGGTGGTTAAAAAAAAAAAAGGGACGAAAAAGTCGCGTCGAAAGGTGATGGTGGATTTATACCTTAAAACGCTTATCCTGTAGAACTCGCTTGATAGCCGCATCTTCGCCGTTCGGCGATAGTTTTGTCTGAAATACGACACCGAAGGATCCGTTGCCTACAATTTTGCATTGTGTGTATTGCATTTCTCGTATTTCGCCGGTAAGGCCATCCTGGACTTTTTCCTTGACGGTTTCTGGAAATTTACGAAATTTTGAAAAAAAGAGTTAGGTTGGGTGGTTCTGAGAAATAAATAGTGTATATACAGAGGAAATGATGGAATATGGAATTGAAATATTAGCTCACCTCCCATCCGTAAGCCGGGGAATCCTGAAGGCCGATTTTGAGACATGTTGCTTGGTGGTATTTTGATATCAACTGAAAGCTACAAGAAGAGCCACCTTGGCGACCTTTTTCTTTCTTTTGTTTTGGCGAGAATTTGAAAATCGGAAGTTGAGATTGAAGGGTCGAAGTACAACTCTCTGGATGGCGAGAGGATGGGATGGATGGACGGTGGATGTAAGGATGGAGTGGAGATGTCGAGGATGAGAGATGATGTTGGTTTGTTGGTGGAAGGGAGCAGCTTGTGTTGGCGACAGGCGGAGAACGAGCAAAAATAGTAGGAGGGGTAAAAGTGGTGGTGGTGGTTGTGGTGGTAGTGTGGTTGTGGTGGTAGTGTGGTTGTGGTGGTGTGGGAGTGAATGGACGGTTGCCGAGAGGATGATGCCCAGCAGCAGCGAAATTCCCGCTCAATTAAGGTGGGTCGGTCGCTTTAGCTTTGGAAGGGCTGGCTGAGGTTTATACACGCTGCTCGATGTAGAGAAGAAGAAGAGGAGGAGGAAGAGGAGGAGGAGGATGGAGAAAAAAGGGAGAAAAAAGGTACGAGTAGCAGTGAATTAATTTGTGAATGGAATCGTGACAGCGGTAGTATTGATGATGCTGATGATGATGTTGATGATGGTGATGAAGATGAAGATGGTGATGGTTGGTTGATGGTTGATGGTTGTTGTTGGTTGATAGAAGTGGAGTAAAGCAGAGGAGAGCAGCTTTGTCGGGGGTTGGAAGGAAAGGAAGGAGAAATTAAGCAGAAGCAGAAGAAGGAAGAGAGTTTGGTTTGGTTTGGTTTGGTTTTGGTTTTGGTTTTGGTTTTGGTTTGGTTTGTTGGGCAAGTTCAGATCAGATCAGTTCGGTTCGGTCGAATCGAATCGAATTGAATTCAAACCGTCGTCTGGAATGAATAAAAATGTGAAAGAAGACGAAAGATAAAAAGAAGAAAATATATAAAATAAATAAAAAATAAAAATAAAGAATTCTCTTCTCCTCTTTTTTTCTTCTGAGTCTCGAAATGGATTGATCGTCTCTTCTTCTTCTTCTTCTTCCTCTTCTCGAAAAAACTGGGCGCTAAAAGCTTCGAAAGCCCGATGTCACACTTCTACTATTTAAAGATGGCGGAGCGGGTCCAAGCCGGGCTGTCCTGTCCTGTCCTGTCCTGTCTTGTCTGGTCCGAATTCCTGGCTTGCTGGCTGCAGGGTCCTCAGCAAAGAAAAGAAAAGAAAAGAAAAGAAAAAAAGGAATAAAAAAGTGACAGAAGGAAAGTTAAAGGAGATTATTAAATTATGGTTATATCGACGATAAGACACGATCCGATAATATAATCACTATCGATTCGTCCGATGACGTCGCAGCAGCAGCAGTTCAGAAGGGATGGTTGATATCCTCTTCTCTCGAACTTCTCTCTCAAACTTCTCTCTCTATCTCAGGGCCTTTAAAGAATAAAAGACCTCTTGACACAAAAGTCCAACGAACGGTCACTGTGTGTATAAACGGACGGGAAATGGCGGAATACTTGGAGGATCTCCAGGAGGCTTTTTGAGGCTCGACTTGAGGGGGTGGAAAAAAAAGTGGAGTAGGGTATAATAGTGTATATTATATAAGTGAAGTAGGCGGTGGTTATAATAGCGAAAGCGGTTGGTTGGTTGGATGGAATCGATAGACCGACGGATGGTTGGATGTATTTGTTCTCTTTCTCCTCTTTTTTCGTCTCTACTTTCTTTCTTCTTTCTTTCTTCTGAATATCAATCAATCTTAATATTCCTACTGGATCTCTTTCTTCTTCTTTTTGTTTGCTTGCTTGGTTTGGTGACCTGTAAAGAAGGGAGGAAATGGAGAAGGTGGGTCCTGTTGAACGGCAAAAAAGAAGCACTGGGGTTAGTTACTAGCTCCTCTAGCTGTCTTTTGTTCCAATTTGAATAGGAAAAATAAAATAAAATAAAATAAAATAAAATAGAGCAAGCTCTCAAACTAGCCTGGCATGATATGTATGGATGAAGTATGAAGCATGAAGCGCAGCATGAAGTATGATGTGTAAAAAAGTATGAAGTATACATATAATGAGCTCCCACCTGTATAATGGTCTGCTGATCTATCCACCATTCGAACTAACGTCCGGGTGTTTAACAATCATCATGCAAAGCGCCGGAATACACGCAATAGCTATGTGGTACCTTTCCGACGTGGAAAGGACGATAAAGCTAGAACCCAATCCCCAGAACCTTAAAAGCCAAGCTTGCAGGAATGAGGGTCCGGGCCACGGGTTGGACAAGGACAAGAACAAGAAGGACAAGAATAGATTAAGAATAAGAAGATCAGAAAGAGGGGTAACAGTAACAACGGGTCAAGGTCAAGCTCGAGTTAATCCTTCCTTTCCCTCCCAGTAAGAAAGGGAAGAGATAGAGAGAGAGAAAGCACAGACCGAAGGATAATGGTGATGATTATGATGATGATGGTGATGGTGGTGATGATTATGTAAAATCCGACACGGAAAGGATCAGAGAAGTATAAAACGAATGATCAATGGCCAACTTAAGAATTGCGACTTGATAACAGCAAATTCGATAAACAAAATATGTAAAAGTACTGACAGTATGTAGATATCTTGTGGGTGACTGTGTATGTCTCTGCTATAAGGCGGAACAGCAGCGATATCGAAAAGACCCTTTGAATTCTGGTTTTTCTTTTCCCACCCAAAGTATAAGAACCAGAACGAGATCGGATCAGACCGAAGGAAAAGAAACAGAGGGCGGGAAGGGAAGAAATAGAAAAAAAATAAAAATAATAAAAACCGTGAAAGGGAAAAAAAAAGATAAACTAGAAAAATGAGGGAAGTCAAGAGGGTTAAAAAGGGCGTCGAGAAAGGTTGGGTGACAATGAGTTTAAATGAACCTTGGGAATCATGAGAATCTTGAAATTAAATGACGGCGGGCCCTTCTTTCTTTCTTTCTTTCCTTTTTAATTTTGCCTGACCGCCTGCATATAATATAATGTATGTAAAGGGAAAAAATTAAAATAAAATGATTAAACAGAAAAAAAAAAAAAAAAAAAAAATAAGTTTGTGGACAAGGCCCGTGAAATGGCGAGCAGTGCAGCGGCAGGCTTCAAACTAGCGGGGTTGGAAGCTGGGACCGGACCTGTGCAGAGGTCACTTACAGCGGTTGCTATGCTCGTAGGTACGAGCAAAAAACCCCGTGTTATAGAACAAAGATACCCTCTACTTACTCCATCCATCCATCATCCATGGCCTGGCCTGGGGTTATAATTAACGGTTGGAGAAGTGAGGAGGAGGTGGTGGTGGTGGTGGAGGTGGAGGAGGGGCAGGTGAGCTCAAATTCTGACTAGCACCCTGGCGAACCACGGGAAAGGAATAACCCCAAGCTCAGGCTACACGGACAGACAGAACAGACAGCCAGACAGACAGCCCGTCCGTTCGAAAGGGACGACCCATTCGAACTCGAACTCGAACTCGAGGTCTAGAAATTCTGATATCACGGTAAAAAAAAGCAGATATATGTAGAACGGGAAACGAATTCATGGAATAAAGGATATTCTAGCGAGCAGATCGTTTCATGCCTGCTGTACTGCAATTGATGCATGGTCGCACAACTTCACACATACCTCCCAGCCGCTTTCAAAAGCTACCTGGCTGACTGGCTAGCTAGCATATACTTACTAGCTAGCTGTGGTGCGATTGATTGATGTGTGCTATGCTTGCATTCGAAGGTCCAACATGCAAAGGGTTCGCCGCCAGGCGGGGACAACGGTGATCCGATGGCTAAAACTGGGTAAAAGGAGGGGTGGGCATTCCACAAACCAGATATGGAGAGATATGTATGGTCTTGGTAATGGTCTTGTCTATTTCCTTTCTTTCTTCAGGCAGGGACGATAAATCGTATCACGGCCGGCTCTCGGTCTTCTTTCTGGTGATATGTATCTGGAGATCGAAGCTTGCATTCCAAGATCATCGTCCCAAACTGCAAGTCGTAGGCACTGCCGCGATATCACCAAGCTAGAAAAGTCCACGACAGGTAATGTACGCTAACGAAAAAAAAGGTAAAACGTAGCTGGGCAATTGGGACGAACTAGGGATGGATGGATGCAAGGTCTTGGAAGAGGGAAAAACCGATGATAAATTGCAAATACCGATGTAACTTACCTATTCGTTCGGATCTTGATTTCGAGGGGGGAATGGAAACGAGGGCCGCAGGGGGAGAAACGTGCGTGGAGCTGGGCTTGTCGAAAGACAAAGGTTTTCGAGTTTCGAGGAAGTGCGGGAAATTTAAAGAGGGGCCAGGCGAGAGAGAGAGACGATATATCGTTCGGATCGTGAATTCGAAGCTTGTACCTTACAGCCAGCGGTATACAGTACTAGAGACCAACTTTGTCGTTCAAACGCCAATGACGACGGGTCTAAATCCGCCTGATGGTGAATTCAAGCTAGTGTATATAAAAGAAATTAAATTAAAGAAAAAGAAGAAAAATCGCACAAAAGAAAATAGTTCGATATCGGATAGATCCAGAGTAAGGCTGTTTGAGATAGCTGAAGCAGCAGAAGTAGTAAGAGCAGCTAGCAAGAGCTGTCCTGGAAAGTAAATTGGCATGGATTATATTTATTTCATTTTGGCATATTGAGAAAAAATAAAAAAATAAAAAAATAAAAAAATAAAAAAATAAAAAAATAAAAAAATAAAAAAATAAAAAATACATTTGTAATTTCCTTTCCTTTCGTTGACTATTTTAATCCACAGACGCCTCTTCCTTTCCTTTCCATATGGTCTGGTATACATTACATTACATACATACGTGAGTACTATACTCTTCATACGAGTTTCTTCTGATCTTCACGGGTTTAGCTAGCTAACAAGCTTAGGTGCAGCGGCGGGGGGGGGAGACATACAGCGGCAACCCTTCAGGTTTAGGTAGCCCATGTCCCTCAAACAACAAGATGGCATGGCATGGCAGCTTAAGCTTGCTTGTCTCGATATCGATGGCTGGTCACGCAGCATGCAAAATGTAAGG